CCCAAAGGCCCCTCCCTGCGCCAGGTCTCCGGGCGTTCCCGGTGCCTCGCTTGTTCCCTGTTTTTAGAATGTCTTTGAAAAGTCCTTGAACGCGAGGGGCGGTCGTTGTACTCGCCGTCCGTAATGACCAACACCTGAAACACCGGGCTACTGGCATTTTGCGGTGACGTTTGAGCTTGCCTAAACGGTAATGGTCGGGTGGCAAAGCCAGGTATTGCTACAAACAGCAATAAAAAGAAAGAGCACCGGTCTTTCGGGATCTAAGTGCTGCTGAGAGATCCAGGAGGAGCTGAATATTCTTGCAATCCCCTGGAGGAGAAGTAAATGATGATACGTATTTACTGTGGTACCGCGTCTTCGACGGGTCTTTGAATACAGTAGGTGATTTTTGAACAGCTACCTGATTGCCACACAGAAAAGAGATCTGGAAGCAGACGGTCTAGCAACGGGCATCGAGTCTGCCCTGCCAGACGGTATTGCTGCCAAAGAGTAAATTAGTTTCACAAAACTAAATCTAAACTAACATTTGGTAGTAGCAACTAAAGGGAGCATTATCATTTAATAAGCATTTCTCAATTGTTGAAAAACATTGCTACAAGGCTGAGACTATTGTATGTGCTATAATTTCTCATGAACAATACAGAAAGCATTAACTCTTTAATGAGCACCAGATCTCTGAAACAAGTTGTTTGCGTTACATAAGGAAAGAGACACAATCCAGCAAGCCATCAAAAGAAGGTTACTTTACACATTTCACAGAACGAATGCAATCTAATGCCTTGAAAAGGAACAAAGGAGATACATTTTGGAGCAGAACAATAATCTTCCCCAGTCCAGCTTCCCCTTTTTTTTTTCCCTTGGCAAGTTGATGTGCTTTGCGGGAAAGCGTAACAAATTATAATATGCAATTTTGTAGGAATTTATCCACGAGAAAATTTTATGTTTACTTTTACCACATTACTAGTTGTCTTAGTATGCCTTGAGGCATTATTTTTCTATTTATTAAAATACATGTCTTTATTTTAAAGTTAAGACTTCTTACAACTCTTGTAGTACTTCCTGTAATTTTCTGAGTGGGAGTTAATGCATATGTATAAGGAGGGACTGAAACCCTAATGTCTTCTCCTTATATTCTAAATACATGATTTTCACATTCTTCAAATCTGTTTCTTTGGATTAATATGGCATTCGCCTTTCTGATTTCTTGATGATCTAGAACCAAGAATCATTCAGCAAGAACTCCATGTGTAGAAATGCAGCACAAGATGAATGTATAGCAAGCTCATCTCTAATAAAATCACTGTTGATAAATTGGTCTGTGTAAAAGAGAGTGATGTTACTGTACATACACTGGAGGTGCCACTTACATGCTGGCAGAGGAGAAATATCTTTTTTGGCCTGCTCTCAATCCACTGGTATGTGCAAGATACATGAGGATGGACAGATATGATACATCCTGGTAAAGCGCATCCTTTTTCAAGTTTTTCCTTCCTTTCTAAATTATTTCAATGCGAGGTTTAGATCAGTATTATTTGTAGAATTCTTTTAAAGATTAAATAGTTGAATTAAGAAAACAGATGGTTCAGGAACTGCTCCCGAAGTACTGTGCGTTGTTGCTATACTGGCCATGAGAACAAAGTCTTAGAGCTGAGTCAAACTTCAAGTTTCTAGCAAGGCAGGTAGAAGCTGTGAAAGTGGTCTCAGAGGGTTGTAGGGGCAGCTGCTCTGCTCTTTCTGAATCCTCTTGTGGGCAAAACTACCAGGTGCCCCAGCATTATTTCGCAAGGCTGAGGTTTCTGCCCAGTAGGTAGGTTAAGAAGAGAAAGGGAG